GCAAAGGTGGGCGAAGTCGCTTCAGAGGAAGGTGTTACAAGGAGCTACTGCTACAAAAATGTAGGCTTACTTAGGTTTCATTGGTGAGAATACCACGTTGGCTCAGTAGTAGAGTACCTTAAGACAGCAATACTCAGTCAACCTTTCCAGACTCTCGATGCTGAAATCGCCATCTACCGTAAGATGCTTGAAGGCGAAGGAGACGGTCCAGGACTCCGCCAGCTTGTTGAGCAAGTGGTCCGAACCACCGGAATCAATGAAGTTGCTGACACTGGTGGGTAGAGTTCATGAAAGAATGTTGGGTTGGTCTTCCCATCGATTATAAGCCTTTAACTTCAGAGACAATGCGCGTTGTCAAGGGTGAAACTTCCAGCCGTACATCATATACCCGCTCAGCCAAAGGAAATGTCTCCATCCAGGTAAATCAAAGTGTTTCTGGGTTTTTTATGACAGAAAATGCCATTCTTCATCACTGGCTTTTAGGATCCTTCACCAGATGGCAAGTATGTGGTACTCGAGAATACCCATCGCTCCAAAGAAGAACCCATTGGTGAATGGAAACTCAAGAGGAAGATAGACGGAAAGCGCGAGATCGTCTATACCTTCCCTTCAGAGTTTATACTCAGAGGCGGAAAGAGTGTGAAGGTTAGCTAAATTCATTATTTCGATTTTGAGCTTTGTACGACGGAAATCATTTCAGATCTGGGCACGTGGTCAAGGCGGAGTGCACAATCCTCCCGAATCGCTTATCTTCGACGGTGAAGAGTCGTTCGGTATCGGTTCGAACGTGCAGACCATCCTCTACAACAAAGAGGGCGAAGTAAGCGTTTTCTACTTGGTATTCTACCTATTGTACGACCGAAGGTCTTCCCAGCCGAATTCCATCCAGTCGGGGTGTGGTGCAGTAGGAACGAAATTGTCGCGTCGCGGCGAGAGACGCCACGCGCAAAGAATCATGCTAAAAGCAATAATCGCATAGTGATCGGGCTGCATGAAGAATGCTAGAACTATTATAACGAGGCAAATGGTCCGCGACAACCGCGTGCGGCGGATCGATTACACAGAACCTTTCCTACTGCCCGTCTCCCCTTATTACTTCGACTACATAAGTAACCCTTTGTGATCAAAATATCTTTCCTTATGAATCTGTTTCAGGAAGTGATCAAAATATCTTTCCTTATGAATCTGTTTCAGGAACGCGCCACACACATTCAACGACAAAGTCAAAGCGCTACATAATTGGAAGGTGGATATGACTGAATGAATCAACGGTTCCTATAGCGCTTCACTCACTATATTCTCATCAGTAGCCTACTTACATTCGCTCACTCAATACATTTTTATCATTTTCACTATCCATATCACTGCATTTTCCACTGTTAAAGGGGTTCCTGCGTTATCTCACATTCGCTTGCTATGATTCAAGTGTATTGTTACTTGAAGCGAATCTATATATTATAACGCATTTCTCCTCTAAACTTGCTTTGGGATATATAGTCATAAAGATATATCTTTTCTTGTATCATTAACTATCAATAGGAACCTAACGTTACTGAAAACTAATCTTTAGCAGTGCCTAATACCGCATGCATTTTTCAATGAGTAAAGTGTAACAACATGAAGTCAGTGGAACTTGTTAAGAACTGAAACGTTTTGAAGGCAGTCACTCACTTCGCGTAGTCTAAACAGCTACGGCTAACCATAACTCATTTCCCGCTCGCCGCGAAAAAACCGACGCCGGCTGCGTGTCCCAGCAATATCGATCGAATCGCCCCGCCATCTTTGCCTCTCGTCGGCTTCAATGGTATATGGTATACCCTATTAAAACAACAGGAACAAAATCGTCTAACCGAGAAAAATTTTCTTTCAAAACCGAGCTTCAGGATGGTAGGAGCACCGGCGAAGTCACGATATTTATTGCATTCGCTTAACTGAAGAATGGTCGACGAAATAGAGGTCCCCGCTTCCCCTACACGGCCATCTTGTACACCCCACAGTCGCCAAAGCTATTTGTATAGCAGCTGTATCACAAAATAATATAAAAATAATTTGAAAGCAAGTTACCGTGTATTAGAATCAACTGGCTTATAGTATGTTCAACCCCGTTTCGGTCTCGCTGTGGATGTGTGAACGGGGTCGAAATCGAGGAAACACTTCGAATCTGCTGCTTACCAACTAGATTCCACGGGGAACAATTAAGCTGGATTCTAGTGTGAAGCCTCGATCCCAAATGATTTGTTCCCATTCATCTATCTCTCCCAAAAATTTCACATTTTGAATAACGCTGCACACCAGTAAGGTAGAAGTATCAGAAATGAGTAGCCCGAGGTTTTCACAGTGTGCAGGTAGGTCTCGATGGCCACTGTAAACTGGTTAAAAGAGCAATCCTCGTACACGTTGAGGTGATGATGTACAAGGGAAAGAACCCTCGTCGACGGTTTTCATATCGTTCATGCAATTACATAGCTCTTCTCTATCCTAGCCTCTAAATTAGGAATTTCAGAAGATAACAGTTCCTTAAGCTAACTTCATGTTAGAAAACACTACAGAAATTTTAAAAGACTTCACTGGAAAGAGCTGTGCAAACTTATCAGTTCCTAATCAAATTCTTGAATGGCAAATTCCAATGTTAGAAAGTAATGTGGGATGGGAAAAGTAAGGGAGCTCCGCCGATCGAGGAATCACTGCTCAGAAGCCTCCTCTACATGCATAAAGAATCCAAATCTTACAAACTTCTTATATCATTTTTACATTTGATCGAGCCGATCATCTGTTTTGATCTTGGGTGCTCGACGGCGCTGCCATCGGCGGCTCGGTCCGATTAAATAGCAAAGGAAAAAGGGGTTGGCAATAAAATCGAGCTCAATTTTTTTTCACTGGAATTTCAGATTTTTAGCTTCAGCTAAACTAGAACTGTTCACCGGAAAAATTTTGTAGGGGTTTTACAAGAAATGAGTTCTTCGCAATGACAGAATTGTCAGCGGCCTGCCTGAGTTTTACTCCTTTTGTCAGAATACTGACAAATTATAATACAAAGAAATAGAAGTCGTAGTGACTAATCGAACTCTTTCTCTGGCAAAATCACATGTTCTTCGGAGTTTTAACATCAAATTTCTTAAAAGAAAGTTTCCAAAATCACCAGAGGTGAAGTATTCCTGAAGGAATAAGGACGTTCCATCAGTCAAAGAATTACTCTGCAGAGGCTCCCTCAGCAAGCATACATTCAAAAGTAATCCAAATTTTACAAACTTCTAATAACAATTTTACATTTGATCGAGCCGATCATCTGTTTTGATCTTGGGTGCTCGATGGCGCTGCTATCGGCGGCTCCGTCCGATTAAATAGAAACGGAAAAAGGGGTTGGCAAAAAAATCGAGAGTAACCATTTTTGTTCAAATTTCGGGATTTTTATTTCCATCGGATTGGATAGGGGCGGAAGTGGTATGGCGCACTTCATAGTCTCGCGTTCACCAAGTCTTCCATCCCTTCATAGTCGCTTAATTGGTACCAGACTGTCTGGGGAATAAAAGCACTGGCTCGTACATTGGCTGGCCACCGCAAGTTGTTGTACAGGCCACATACGCATTCAATATGCCACTACGATTTTGAATAGAGGTTGAATGGGTGGACGGATCTCTCAGATGGGGTTGATTAATGCCGCGAGACCTTATCCTTTTATCGTTACCGGATTGGATCAGTCTATTAGCAAGCTTTCATGTTGCTTCAAAAGATCCAAGCCCTTTGAAGGGAAGGGAATCCATTCCTATTTGCGAAGATCCTCCACTGGGGCGCAGAATCACAAAAAGGTGGTGGCTAATCGAACCCTATGTAAGAGGAACCGGCTCTCTTTTTTAAAATTTTGCAATCAAAGTGTTCTCGAGTAAGGTTTTGAATGTCAAACTGTAATAAGTTTTTGTAGGATAGGGACTATCCATCGATCGACAGAAGCCTCCTTCACATACATCTGGAGCGATCTTAACTTTAGAAACTTCCTATATTAAGATGATATTATTAGATATTGTATATATTATTACGTGCATTTGGTCGAGAGCTTGAGAACAGGGACAGCCCTACCGAACGAGGAATTACAGAAACCCACTTTACATGCATTCATTCACCGAAAACCATATGAAAAAAATATGAAAAAAAACATTAACGACTGGCTTGCCCACGTGGGTTACCAACCTTATTTACTACCTTACATGCTTTAACATATTCACACACGTCAAAGGTGGTTTGAACTAGTATTCACTGGACACACTAGTTAACACAGGGTTGACATGTGTTAATCTGCTCTTCAAATGACAGCTTTCAGACTTCCTGTTCGCCGAAAACCGACGCTCAACATACGAGGCGCGCGAATTCACGCCGCGTCGTCGATCGATATCACGGAACTATGGTAAGGTCAAGCTGAAGACGCTTCAAGCTCTGAACCTAGTATGTTCGATTTGCCCTTTCGCCTATTAGGTACTGTCGCAGTAATTGCTGTTTACAACTGAGCGATTGCTAAACTAAAATGATCGAATGAAAACATGACACGTCCAATCCTAATCAAGTTCTATTGAGCGGAAATCACATTTGCACTTTGAAAACGGTGAAATTGCAATCAAACAAAAAGGCTATTTTAAACATGCAATATCTCACGAGTTGTGTGATATTCATCAACCGTGCCGCGTTAAAGGTCGTCACGATGAAAATGGCAAATTCTGAGATTTGTAACTAGGATAGGACTGTGACCCAAACTAGAGCACAAGTGATGCTGTCGGATTAAAAAAACAGCCTAGATAGGGCGTAATGAGAGCCCAAAACCGGATTAGCCGATGTGTGCACCCAAAGACGGACGAGTCCCATGGCGTTGTAAAGGCTGTAGAGCATGCATCATTTTTGCACCACTCCCGGGAAGCACACGTTGCACACTGGCGTGTGCTGCCTACAGCTGTACGTAAAGGCACACACATTTGGACAGCTCGTCCAGGTAACCCTTCCATGCAACTTATGCCGCCACATTCTCGTCCAACCCCAATTTGACTAGTTTTTCAAGCCTTACATTTTTCTAAATACACCGATATTCGCTTTTTCTTCACCACATTTGCATTACGCTGGACTATCACTTTCACTGCCTATATGAAGGTGGATACACCGAAATTATCGGAAACTAAATTTTGTGCCTTTAACAGGTGCGCCACGTAACCGCTGGACATTGGCCACTGTGAAGTCTAAACGCGTCTCCCTTCATTTAGGCGGATTTAGTACATCAATTACGTTTTATTTGACTTTTAAATTCTGGGCACCGTGCCATCATTTTTGTATAGGCATTTGTTCCATTGACCCTCTTGAATTTGTGTACTCTGCTCAACAAATCGATGTTCAGCATAAACAGTGGCCACATGGAGGTTAGGTGGAAGCGGCGTGAAAATAGATAACGCTTGCCCAAATGGGTATCACAAGCAACACCCGTATACAACTGAGAATTCGAGGAGCCCCGATAGGTAGGAGCAATCCGTCACTGTAATCAACAAGATCGTTGTCAATGGTAGGCGGGGACTGTTCTCGATTACTGGTTGGTTGTTCTAGTAGTTCGATTCTTATACTTTCAGAAATCATGCAGTCCAGTCGAATGATGTATAGCCGTTCAGCCAACGGAAATGTTTCAATTCAGGTAAATCAGAATCTGAAAATCTAAATCAAAATCTTTTTTTCAAAAGAAAATCAACGATTGTTCAATTCTTCCCTCTGTAGGATGCTTCACAAGATGGCAAATACGTGACACTTGAAAACACTCACCGCTCCAGAGATGAACCGATTGGAGGGTGGAAACTCAAGAGAAAAATAGACGGAAAACACGAAATCGTCTACACCTTCCCTCCGGACTTTGTACTCAAAGGAGGAAAAAGTGTAAAAGTAAGCCTACTGGTTGGTCTCCGTCTTTAAATGGGTACAATAGCGTCTTTTCAGATCTGGGCACGAGGACAAGGTGGAGTGCACAATCCTCCCGAATCGATTATATTCGATGCTGAAGAATCGTTTGGTGTTGGTTCGAATATGCAGACATTTCTCTATAACAAAAATGGAGATGTAGGCATTTTTTATTTTGGTTTGTTCCTAATTCAAAATTCGGGCATGTTCCTAACGCGGTTCGGACCCCTGGTAGATACTAAGGTATCGGAAAAGGCCTTACCCGAGCCCCTTTTGGGATCATGGATTGTTTGACTTTCTGGATGAGGACTGCCGTTCTCTGTTCCGGCCATTCACATTAAGTTTTTGAACAGTTTTATGGCTCCAATCCATCGCTTTCCTTTGATACCCCATTTTTCCCTTTTTTTCTCTTTGGGGTTTAGATTGGTGATTTCAAATAAAGTGGGGGGTGGCTAAGATTTCAGTGATGATGTTTCGCTCAATATCTGGGTTCTACTCTGACAATAATTGATTTTTCAAGTGGTATCCACAAGAAAACCGGTCATACCTTTTTGTCCCGTGCCGTCACAGTTGCATGTGTTCCAAAACTACGGGAACTATGCATGTCCTAGCCGAGATACAAAGGCATTGCTTACTGTTGATGTTTTTCGATGCTGCTATCTGCCATACTGGATTCTGGAAACCAAGCATGGGAATGATACCCTTAGAGGGAGACGATGTTTAGCTGGATTATCTGACCGAGCCCTGCCACATATCCGTCACGGCCATGGTTCATGAGCATGGATTGTACTTTCGAACTGGTTTGGTCCCACTCAAAAGTCGAGAGTTGTAGAAATCATATTTATATGGGAAATACATACCTCATTGCCGTTCTTGATCCCTTAGTGAGGCCTCAGTGCGGGGGGAGGGCAAAAGTGGGTTAGGTGGGTAACAAGGGAGTCAAAGGCCACAGTTCAGTGTTAAGGTTTTCCTAAAGGTGCAGTCCACAACAATCAGAACTCGCAAAATGTTAAGCTTCGCAAAACAAGTCAAAGTAAGGGGTTCTACAAGGTTATGACGACGGAACTGGCAAAGGAGTATCCAAAATTGCTTTCCACCATCACCATGGGTCGAGGCGTTTAGCTGTTTGAATTTCCCAACATGTACGCTCTAATGCGAATGGTGCAACCTTTACAAAGCCAATGGAACACGGCCACTTCTTGTACGTAATACAATAGCGACAAAATTCGATCCCAGACCATAATGTGCTCAAATACCACTTCAGTCATGTACTGTGCCTCTGATAAACAGTTTCCGGATTGACCATTTATCGATACGGTACACTTTCCCAAAGAAATATTGTCGAATTTTGGACAAATTGGAGTGGTCGGGAAGAGGGGGAAAGAAGAGATTACGCATCGGTAGGTAAACTTCAAAGACCATATTAACTTTCGCACGATGTCTGCCAAGAAATATTGCTCGGCCCATGCGTTTGAAGAACCCTAATTATAGAAATTGCAGTTTTGGTCATAAAGGATGAAGTTTTTGGCATTAATCAATCCCGTCTGAGGGACTCCGTACTCGACTTCCATTCAGAATCGCAATGACGTAATGAGTGCGTATAAGGCCTAGGCAATGACCTGCGGTAACCAGCCGATGTACAAGTCAGTGCTTTTATCCTCCCAGACAGGTCTGGTATCAATTAAGCGAGGGCTTCGTTGGCTTAGGCGGATATCGATCCGGGATTCGAACCCCTGACAATGCGTGTGAAGTAGTACGCCACTTGCCACTACAGTACCTCCGTCCCATTTTCAATCATAACTATAGTGTTATCAGTTGATATTTTATGTTAAATTAATTGTCTCCGTGCCGACTTCAAGACGTCGGTGTATTTGTAATTAATGGAATTCCTTCACTGCCCGCCCATATTTCCCTTTTACTATTACTGCATTTAATAGACTTGACCATATCGATCTTCACCGTCCTCTAGCAGCTTGCGCGCAAATTGTCTGTCGAAAATTTTGCAATGACCCAGACTTTCCTCGGAATTTTCTGGAAGCTTCTGCTGCTAGAAGCTGATGGAAGCTTTTGATACTGATGTCAACCATTTCGCTTTCAATTCCCTTCTAAGCGGCTCCGTACACACCTCGTTCAACGCCCATAACCTCAAACGACAAGGTTTCAAATGAACCGTTAATCTGGTCAACTGATACCGACATTATGAATCTCTTGATACGTTATGCGCATACAGTGAGTAGGTGCTCTTATGGAAGCTTACAGGATTTCTATAAAGGAGCTCACACTGTTGGGCGTTTTCAGAGTAAAGGTTGAGCGTTGAGCGTTTAACGCTCTTCGGGTGACGCTCGGCGCCCGTTGGCCGTTTAGCGCTCACACTGACGACCGAACTGAAGGAATTTCATCTCCAATTAAGTCTACTTTGTTAAAAAACCTCCAACAAAGCGGATACCACTGGATTTTGACTCCAAAACACGTTCTCACTCTAGTAGACTGTAATAAATTAGCAGATATTCGATTGAATAAACTGCTAATGAAATGACTTGTAAACTGCCTGTACATGTTACATCTTTATATCTTTGCTCATCTCTTCTGAACTTTCCAGGAACGAGCTACGTACATTCAACGAAACAACCGAAGCGTTACGTAATGTGAAGGACTGCGTCATCTGGCCTACGTTGTAGTTTTCTATGTGCTCATCGCTAAACTTTTCGAAATGATTTTGATTTTATGCGATTTTTTGGGTATTTTTTTTTTGAAACGCTTCTTTATCATCACCACTGAAATTGTCATGATTGAAACTGACCCAGTAAATAAACAACTACTGGTCTACCGCTGTGATCTGCACATATGAACATAATAGGGAAGCAAAGACTTCAGTAACTTGGTACAGTTCAAAAGAAACCGATGTCGGTACTTCTCCCCGAAATCGCGACGCGTTTGCCGCATCCGATTGCGCGTTGTCGCGCGCCACGAAGGAAAATTTTTGGGTTCCTAGTGGAAGGATTGGGTAGCCGCCGCGGAACGATCGCAATACAAGCACAAGGACAGGAAAACAGCTTATCGTGGCACAATCCTTGGAGAATGTATAATAAATAAAAATTGCTGAAAAACGAATAGCGCGACACTAATCGATTTCCAAACACTATACAATAGATGGTTTTCCTCTTATCTTCGTCTTGGCTCAAGTCCCGATGTCTCAAGCCTAGTTCCTTCGAGCCCAAAAGCCTATTACCAAAAAAATCTGTGAATGCTTAGCAAGTTCAAATCTCATAGTCCTCATGTACACCTGACATTCCAAACCTATAGAAGATGAAAGTCGGATTCCTGATTCTATCAATATATTACATGCCCTCAGAAAGTACTCCACTCTACCATGCAACTTTGCTAGAGCTGCTACAGCCAAAGCAAACAGCCAACGGTGATTTTCGTTCTTGGACTCACAGCTGGAACCCCATGGAAAGTGTTTAGAATCACAAAAAAGTCAGTAAAGGAAAGAAGAGGAAGAAGTATATTCTGAAAAAGACTGTTAACGGGCAAAGCCTCCGCTTGAATTTGATGCCAATGAGCTTGATCCACCATTTGGAGGTATATTTTGAGTAATTCTATTACAAAAAGAGCAGTAGAACTTTCACTAGCACTACTCTTCAGAAAGTTATTGAGGACTTATAAGGTCGGCTCCGACCACTTAAGCTAGGACCGTTAATTCTAGACTCTTCGAGGTGACCTCATTCGCTTTACCTGTATGTCACCTCAACCGTGAGGAACTTCATGAGTGATCAGACTCAACATGAACGTGGGTGTAGTGCACAGTGCAAATGGAGTAGTCAAAAAAGCAACTTATGAGCAAATGTATTTCGATCAACCACAAACAAAAGCTCTCTTGTGTAGTTTCGATTTATTCATCTGCTCTATCTAAGGCAACTTCATCGAGCGTTTGTTCGGTAGGAATCTGGATGTGACTGCCGAATGTTATTTGCTCACAATAGGTTTTTTTGTCTACACCATGTTTAAGTGCACTACATCTAAATCCATGACGGATCTGATCAACCACGGCGTTCCTGCGAAAGCAGGAACTCCCGAATTTGGACATTATGTATTGTGGAACATATGAGACCAGGGAAAGGAACATAGTCTCCAAAAATAATTTAGGTAGCCATAATCAGGCCTTTTTCTTCACAAATGACTGATTTACTTAGCTTCGATGAAGTAGGTGAGTTAACTAAAGCCATACGGCCATACTGAAAGCACTGCTTCCAGAATTGCCCTTTAGCAGTTGTTCAAACTTATCAGACATCAGGTCTTTGACGGATATAAAAAGAACATGGAGGCTCTCCGTCGTCGCTGTGAGCAGTTTACTTCGCAACTCATAAATTCTTTTCCTTTTCTCTTCCTTTTCCCCTTTTGCCTCAGCAACGTCTGTCACTTGAGCTTCATGTGTATCTTTAGAGATGAGGCTGACTATCCTGCTACTCCTCTTGGCTGTGACAGCGCAAGCAGGCCTGGTCGACAAGGTGAAAGGCTTCTTCAAGGGAGGCAATATCATTGATAGAATCAAGAATGCGACCCTCACTAGATTTGGGAAGGTTAGCGAATATGAGACTTGGTGATGTAGGGCCCCTGGGAACACGAAAACACTCACGGACGTTTTCAGATCTTCGTAAAGACCGGTCTGTTCTCATTTGGCAAAAAGTTAAATGATATCAGGAAAAAGGCTATGGAGAAGCTGAAACTCGCATGGGAGAAGAAGAAGGCGGAAATTGAACAGAAGATAAAGGTAGGCAGTACTCACCTGGATAGCCAACCGAAAGAAATCAGAACCAACAAAGAAGCAGCCTTTCTAGATGATCCTAGACAGAAGAGACAATACTGTTGAAGAGAAAGACTCGCTAGTCGATATCAACGCAAGGAGCAACATCGGAAAAGACCTCTTCCAGAGTGATATCCTCTTGACAAAGTAGGTTCCGACCGCTCTTTCCCAATAGGAATACGACAATTCAATAACTGTCCCTTCCTTTTAGGAAACAAACAGAAGAACTCGAGGCAGCTGTCGACGGAACAACCAGCCGAGAAAGGAGACAAGCGTTCAGAGACCAAAATTATCCAAATACTACATGGCCAAACGCAAAAGTCTACTATAAATTCGACGAAAGCGCAGGTTTACTTCAGAAAATACTTTGGAAAAATACCATTTGCTCGGTGACTTTATGAAAATTGAAAATTCAGACTACATCACTAAAAAGATCTTTGTAATGGGAACTCGACAATGGCAAGATGTGTCGTGCCTCCGATTCTTCTATGATGATAAAAACACATGTTGGATATTTTTTATATGGGAGCTGATCCCTGATGGGCTCATGATCAATTTTGATTTCAGCTGAACACAGTATCGTGTTGATCAAGGAGGAAGGTTGCTGGTCGTACGTGGGACGCACTGGAGGCGAACAACCTCTTTCACTCGGAGTGGGCTGTGAGGAGGTGAGCTGTTGCTGAGACTTCGCACTTCCGTCTCTCTGAACAATGACTAGCAAAATCTGAGCGATCCTTTATGTTTGCCTTTCATCACCACACGCCTTAGGTTGGAACTGCGACCCATGAACTCGGTCATGCTCTTGGTCTTTTCCATACAATGTCTCGTTACGATCGAGATGACTTCATAACTATCGCTTTGGAGAATGTTCGAGTAAGTCATCACCTACCGACCCTCATCAAGTTGATAGAGCGTATCGTTGGAGCATTACAGGAGGATTTCGTAGACCAATACATCAAGGAGACGCCTGAAACCACCACCAACTATGGCCTTACCTATGACTACGCCAGTATCATGCACTATGGGGCTACGGGGTGGGGAAGAGGAATAAGCACTATGTGTTCATAAACTTCATATATTTGCATATTTCAGAGCTTCCCACAACAAGAAACCTACAATGATAGCCTATGACGTGAACTTCCAAGAATCAATGGGCTCGCACATCCTGTCATTCATAGACAAATCCATGATCAACGACCACTACAACTGCAAAGGTAAGGTATCGCCAAGACAGCCGCCAGTAGAATAAGAAGAGATGAGGAAGTTGTTCAGCCAACTGCAAACATGTAAGGCCTGACCAGTGCAAGAATGGTGGATTCCCTCACCCAATGAAATGCCATGAATGCATTTGCCCCAGTGGCTACGGTGGTCCTTATTGTGACCAAAGAGTAAGTGGCGTATGAGCATTCGTTGTTTAAAGCAATCCCTATTGGAACCTTCCTTTCAGCCTGCTGGATGCGGTAGTACGTTGACGGCGAAACAGAGCAAGCAGTTCCTCATTGACAAACTCGGCTTCGGCGGTCCCGTCAGGGAAGAATTTACTTTCTGCAACTACTGGATTGAGGTATGCGAGTGATTTGCCTACTTGCCACGGATTCTCAGTTAAAACAAAATAATTCAGGCCCCGCAAGGGAAGAAGGTAGAAGTGAAGATTAACTCAATCTCCCATGGCTACGCTTATGATGGTTGCATTCTGGGAGGTGTTGAAATCAAATCCAACCAAGATCAAATCCGAACCGGCTACCGGTTAGTTCTCAAGGTCCTCATCAACTTACGAGTGACAAGTTTCCTTTTCCAGATTCTGCTCACCAAATGATCGCAATGTAGTACTTGTTTCTGCCACTGAGCGTTTGCCTGTCATCACCTTCAACAGATTGGGACAACAACAGATCATCTTGGAATACAAATATATCGACTGAGAACATTTCATTGACTATTTTGTGTAATGAAATGAACGCTTTCGCAAATTAATGTGCCGACACCCAAACAGAGCTCCAGCAAGGAGTCTGTAAACATAATGTGAACTGCCACAACGTGGTGTCCCCCTTGTCAAATCCTGCTTTCCTTATACATAGACCACTTTCGAAAACATACCGCACTCGTTCGTAAGCTTCCACAAATTATCGTTAACTACTAGTCGTGCAGAACAGTCAACAGACGCCAGTCAACCATCGAAAAGTGCTCAAAAGGAGGGAGAAAATATGTTACTTATTACAGTTGGGTTCAGGTCGTCATTCAGTAAAGAAGGGAAGGTGTATTGTGACTGTTTACAGAACAAACAACTTGAAAGACAGCCTTATATAAAAAGGGCCAATACGGATGTGGACATACCCTCACCTAATACCCCCGCAATCACCTGCAGAGCTCTGGATCCGAAGTGAGACTATATAGGCAGGGCTAGAGCTAGGGATCCAACAATTTGTAGATTACGATATGAATGCAGCGTTTTCCCAAGGAACCGAAGCGGTTAGCTCCAGGTGTAAGACTGCAATCCATAGAGGAATACAGTAAAAAGTCATCACGCTAATACTATGAAAGCAGAGAGTCCACCAAATGCCAAGGGGCGTCTCTCTTCGAAGATCCTCCAGCTAATATGCCAACGTAAGAATCGCGCCAGTTACAGACCATCATCAATTATTGTCCAAACTTGCAAAGCTATTAAGACAAGCGATAAAGGAAGGTCTGAAAGAAGAGGAGCAGCAGTTTTGGCCGAAGCCGCCGAGATCGGGAAGGGCATTTGAAAAACCCACAGGAGCATTTGACAATTCGGAGACCAAGGTGACTTCCCTTCGTTCCTGACGGAACAGTTACTGCATTTCAAAGGGCAATGGAGAAGGTCATCTACGACTTCTACTCCGATCTCTTCGACAGCCACGTCTACCTGCCTACCCACAATCGTAGGCAAAACGAATATATCGCTCCTTCGGTTCTCCCTTCCGAAATACGACATGCCAGGTCCATGAAGAACTATATAACGCCCATATGATTAAATAAGATCATGTAAAGATCATTCCACCAGTTATGGTCAAACCTCTGCCTTGGCTCTTCACGGGGTCGTTTCATTCGTAGCATACTCGTCTAGGCGGATAAAAGCACTGACTTGACAAGAGATAGGTTGACTACCAATGGTCATTGAATAGACCAAATCACTTGTGTCACCTGTCGTCTCGTTGACCATCGACTTCTCCGAGCAGGAGCCAGTAACGTCTCCATTCGCCCCTGTTGCATGAATTGCGCCATCAGAACGACAAAGAATGGCACCTCGGTCTTGTAGTTGACGAAACTCGGGCGGGCATCGCAACTGCTCTTCCCACTCACGGCGGCTTTAGATGAGTGCTGCTCTCCTTTCTCTCAGGTCCTCCCTTATCGCATAGCTTGGCAAGTTCGGGCGTTTGTTGATGACTGTCTTTAGCTTCCCTCCCCAGTGGCATATCAATTGAACAGACGTCCTTGAGCAACTTGTAGACCCACTGTTTCCCCAGCGCGATCGTGAAAATATTCGACAAGCCTGATGTATTCCTGCCCATTTAACTCCCTTCCGTGAGTCCTGATATGAAGCTGTTCAGTCGTTCTCATGGGGACAATTCTGGCGTTGAAATAACAATAATGAATTTTTAAAAAGTGTGGTCCTCTCTGAAGAGCCCTCACAGATCCATATAAATCGGAATAGCATAGAACCAAACAGAGAGATAAATAAAACAACCCACCCTGTTACTGCTTTGTATAGAAGGGTTATCACACCAATCCAAACGAAAGGGATAACGATTTTGCTGAAGGGACTTTTTGAGCACCCAATTTTTCAATACCTTGAGCAGAGATTTTGATCAAGTATAGCTCCTGCAACGATATGCTCCTTTTCCATCATAAAAATCTGCTGTGATAGTTCCGACTCACTTTACATGTAGAACAGCTTCATCCAGGTATTCTACTCACGCATTCCAGTTTTAACCTGCGACCTGAAAGGTTATGGGAAGGTCAACCCATTGGAATTGTTTTCCCACTCACATTTGTCCCCTTTATACCATCTGTTCTAGGAAACTAGGACCTCCTTCAGTAGCAAAATTGAAGCAAACCCCGCCACGAAACCAGCCACGTTAAAGGGCATAGCACGCTCACCGTGTTTCGGTCCCGGATTGATTCTTTGCAGCTCGACCTTCGCACTGATTCCTACGGTAGAAGAAGGGGAGTGGCCGGAATTGCTTCACCGATTCGGTGTAGTTTTGACTCCTTACAAAAACGAAGTCTGATAATATATTTATGATTTTGTATTTATTCCTCATCTATTGAGAGTGTATTGTTTCGTTTTCCATGCTCTATTAGACTTGTGTAGGTGATCTTTGGCGAAAGGATATCGTTTCAGGCATGCATACGAAGACAGCTTTGCTTGCCTTACTTGGAACGCTTGTCTTCTCAATAGGTATGACTTGTTCTGAAACTTCAATTTTCAATGTTTTTATTGAATACACTTTCAATCCTGTTAAGAAAAATTCTAAACATTTCTTCTTCCATTCTGTTTAAATAGCGAAACTTCCTCCTCTTCTTTTGAAAATGCCTAAAATTTGATGGACTAAAATTAATAATCATAGGAATCAAACATGAATTACAGTTCGTTTCGATTTGTTGTTTTCGAAGTAATGTGATGCTCTAGTCCTCAATTAGTAGAAGTACGAAGTCTTACAGATATCCCTAAGTGGTCCGAATTGCTCAAATTTTTATTCTCCCTAATAAATGAAAAGCACCTGAGAAGTTTGATCCATTCATGTATTTTTTACATGCAACTTTTTATTTAAGGACTGGTTCGAGCTGATGATCCCGTTGATGGTGAAATCACTGAGGATCAGGATATCATCAGATCTGACGATGATGACTTGACAGTGACTTCTTCTGCTGACGCTGTTGTTTCTTTTATCTTCACTGAACCCGCTGACGCTAATACTGTAAAAGGTCGGTTTTAAATTCAATGCAGCATGTACAGGATTTGCTGCGACTCTCTAGTGCCGTTTGTGGCTGTATAATCATAAAAATTCCAGAAATTTATGGTGGAAAAGTTGTGAAATACCTCATTGGCTTCCAAAATCGAGGTGAAAAGGACTTCATTGTCAAACATTCCGAGACGTCATTCCGTTATCCAATGGACTTCAACTATTATCTTCAAAACGTGAGTTTTTGAACAGAGGCTTTGTCAAAAACCACATTTGGCTCCGCTAACTCGATAGTTTGGTCTGCCATCCATCCACTCAGTAATCAGGAATATGCCGGAATCAAATCTTTACGTCAAGTGTCACACCCGGCGCGCGACCTGACACGCCTATTCGTGACCATAGGGTATACACTCGTTAGCTTGCGCAAGGCGTCTTCCAATGTGCTTTTGATGAACATTCTGTCTTTCTGTGGAGGTAATTTATCATAGTTGTTTAATTTAGTTTACTCTTGGTCAATATAATCGCCGTGTTGCACCCAAGGAAGAAGTTACCCTGGACTATGCTTTCTATGCCCACGAGAGTTTTGCAGGACGCCCTCTTGGACTTGTAGTTAATCTCCATTATGAAGATTCGGTGAGTTATAGCTTGCTTGATACTCATCCGAAGATCAATTCGTTTGGAATTCTAATTATACCTTAGCATTGTCATAATGTTTACTTTCGAGATGCTTATCAGATATGTTATGTCAATCAAATACAACTTCTTTTCAAGGAAGGACACTATGTTACCAATGTCTTCAACGAAACCGTCACTATTCTCGAAGACGACTCTGGCTTTAACACAGAGACCGGCTTTATGTATCTCGTTTTTGCCATCATCATTATTCTTCTCCTTCTTGTTGGTCAACACTTCCTCAATAAGGTATACAGAACATTGAATTCTTGGTTTTGTTATTTTCTTCGGATTTCCATGTTATGGCCACCAACCTTTTTTGGTAGTGAATACGTCAGCTGATCGTTTTGTAAATAGAGTTTGGGGTTAGCATACTGTTGACGTTTACCTATGCTCCTGATAACAAATTGGCGTGCTTGCAGTTCACTCGTAAAGCTGGTATGCAGAAAAAGCGTCAGCCAGTTGTAGAGCAAGGCACCAGCAACTCGGAAGTCGATTTTGAATGGATCCCGAGGGAAATCCTGAAGCAGAATGAGAAGAAATCGCCAAAACCAGGTTCACCACGCAATAACGGTAAAACAAAGAAGACTAACTAGAAATAGGATGTATTCTGTGTGTAGATCGTTCAGTTGTACCTCTTAATCCAGTGAGGTCTAAGTTGCCTTTCTGTTGTAAGATGGACGGGTTTAGGTGTGTCCCGTATCCCGCCCAAAAATGTTGTACATTCTATGATAATATATACGTTCGTGATTGTGCTTGAAATAGATATATTTAGCATGGTAATTAACGTTAATTTATTATTGTTCTGTTCACTTTCATTGAATTTAAAGTTTTTATGTGTTGTGCATGATTCAAGTAAATGAAGCGATGTCGGAGAACGGTAATAGGTAGTAGTATCAGGGCCAAACGTAATGATAACGTTTTGATAGGGAGATGATTAGGGGTTTAGCTTCAGCACATGTGTATGTGTGGTCTCGCAGTAAAACAGTTAAAATCTTTAAACTTGTGGAAGTTCTTTTTTCAAGTCATTCGAGATACCCTATCCTTCCTATTATAGTTATTTATTCGACTCATCAGATTTGCCAGAATAAATCTGGTTCCTGAAAAGTCAGATAGCGTTTTGTATCGTATGTTGTAACATTTTGGATAACCAAACCTGCCAAGCTTACCTATCTACTCGAAGTCCTCACGTGCACTGTCTCTCTTCCAGAACTAGTGGGAGCCAGGAAGGAGGATGAGATGATTTAGGGAGCTTCGATAGATGGAGCTCCCGTGTTCCTGCTCAGCTTAACGCGGTAGGTTTTAATGACGATATTCAAGAATATATGATTGTGTCGTTTGTCTTGTTACCTTTGTCTGCTACAGTACCTTGTGATTTGCGTGACTTCCAGGTGTGGGTTAGCTATCCATGGATGTACTCGGTTGCAGTCGTACCAGTCTTAACATTTTTCCTTATTTGATGCTTGATCCATCGAAACCTTGAGATATGCTCTTACTTCGAACGATATGGCTGTTTCATTTTCTGATGGCTGTAGCTGTTTTAATCAGCCGTAATCAGTGTCAAACTCATCTTTTTGTGTATTTGTTCCATTCCTACATGATTAGTAGGAAGCGCTTTGATGACTTTACGGACGGTTTATTCTTGACTGAGATTCACTTTTGCAGATTAAACAGCAAATTACTGTATAGTGATTGTTAGTGAAGGGTGGTAATAGGTCCCAATCTTGCAAAACAAGAAAAATATCTTGGTTACATTCATACTACTGACGCCGGCGTCAGTGTCCTGCGTTGACGCTGCCATGAGCGTCTCGAGACGACTTCAGGTTGGCGTAGTATTACGAATGCAATTAAATTGCGTTGGCAGATGGCCAAGGTGCGCTGTGAGTTAGCCACGCCTCGTTTGCGATAAAATGATATTTTCAATTATTTGGATATTACTGCGACTGGGCGTGGTTAATGAGGAAGGGGCGGAGCATGCCTCAGTAGAGGCTGCACTTATCTGAAAGCCTCTCCGCTCCTCCCTGATTGATACTGTGAATTGATATCGACTAATCAGTGGCTCTTTTCAAAAATGGTAATATCAGTGTAGTCGAATCACTTGATACCAAGTTATTGAACTCCTTTTCGGTGTTGCTTGGTTCATTTTTTTGATATTGTCTCTCTGCATGGCTTAGCTGTGGGAGATCAGCAAATTAAATGAGCTTGAAGTTACCATTTACTTCTCCCGTAACTTCCACCTCTGATTAGCTCATACGTAAACGATAATGCCAACGCAAACTATGAACGCAGCCATGACGACTTTTCCAAAAGCTGCCTTAAAGTTCATGTTTATTGTTAGTATTTCGAAAGTTCTTATTCCCCACCCCCTTCTAATTATAAAAATGACGATCCCTATGTTAAAAATGTTCTTCTATTCTATGACACCTTTAAGAAATAGGCAGTATAAGCAATTTCTGTCAAATGGAATCTTAGAAGTTTCACTGGCTTATCTGTACATCATGTAAATCCACATCACAACGTGGGTGGCCACGATGCGATCTGAATTGGGGCGCGATAATCGCGAACTCGTTGGTGCCCTCACGTAATAACGACGAAATTCTCGTTCGGTAGTTTTGCAGTTTTGTAGTTTCGTGTTTTTTGAAACTTCGGTGTTTATGGTTAGTATTTAGTATGTCTTCGAGTGGATTCTATGTTTCTCGAAATCTGAATTGCTCTTTATGCCATGTTTACTGATATAAACTTTGAAATGACTGATTCTTCGTTAATTTAGTAACTTCGTTTCCATTCCTACGATCCTAGCTTCTTTGATCCGAAAATTAGATTCTAGTTATAGTTTTCTTCCTTAAAATCATTTAGTAGTCGGAATATCTGTTCATTGGTGTTTTCTCATTTTTCTATTCTTAAAACTCTCGGCTGTACTCTTCATATTACCTCAATCTGTTGATTGGAATTGAATTCGAAGGTCGATCGATTTATACAGAAGAAATCGTTTCGAAGCTTTGTCATTTTAAGCTAAAATATGGCAACCGAGGCAGACCGTCTGGACGAGGAGATATGCAAGGAAGCTTCCAGTTTCACGAAAATCTTCTACGATGCTATGGACAGAAAACGTGACAAAATCAATTATCTTTACTGCGAAAGCGGATCAACGCTGGTTTGGAACGGAAACGCCGTATCAGGCTGCGATAATATATTCAAGTAAGTTCGGTTGTTACTGTATTGCTATCGTTACCATTATTCCTAATACAATGAGTTTTCAGTTCCCTATTGCCAAGTTGTCAGTCTGATTCGCTTTCGAAAATGTCGCTTTGTAGTGGAAAGGGTATATCAAGCCCAATAATTTTAGGTTCATATCGTCATTACCGGAAACTGACCATCATTTGGTATCTGTGGATGTTCAACGAGTGAACGCAGGCCTTCCTGGCTCTCCTGATCTACTTACTGTGACGACCGCAGGGACAGTCACGCTAGGCGGAACTGTACATGCTTTCACACATACATTCATTCTGATGGTTGAAGATGGAAAGTACAAGGTAAGTAACCAATTTCCCTTTAGACTAGCCTTTAATTCAGTTTGTATTGCTCGAATTCTTTCCCTTTCTAACCCTGTTTTTGTAAAAAACATGGGAATTCCTGATTCCTAGTGAGGCGCTTCTTTTTTGATTCTCATAAGTAGTCGCCTCAGTCCTCAAGAGGCATTTGAACATTTCCGAATGAAGGATATTTGTGGAAGTACTANTTTTTGTCAAACCTTATCTATTCGTTAAAAACTTTGGTTCGAACTGACTCCGGTTTTTAAGATCAGAAGCGAGCGGTTTCGTTATGTCGACTGAGCCCTTGCCCCACTGCTCGGGTTACAAGCTGTTAGCGGAATTCACTAGAAGTTGTGGTATTTTTATATTCTTGTTAATCCATATTCATGTTGTGTGATGCTGTTAATTCTCCTGTATTGCTAGGTATGCTGTTAATATACGAATTAAATTTTTGGAATCATTTATGATCTCTAATGATAATTTATCGCTGAATCAGCGGGATGTTGATAAATCATTCCTCCACGTTGCATTTCTGGCCTGGAAACGTTTCGCCGTTCGCATTATTTATGAATTTTTTTTCTAGATAGTCATACCTTATTTCTCATTTTCATTATTTTTGTATAGTTGTGCTCCAACTCCGGCTGGCAGTTCCACGTCATAAATGGAGTTTGAACAACTTCATTTGAAGACTGTGGAACTTTTAGCATCAAAAGCTGCCACTTATGGCTTGCCGCCTGAAGCTGATGACTTCACAGACAAGGGTATGTAATGGAAATTTCGCAATTTTCGTACAATGAATTCGATGCCGATTTTACAGAAGAAGCGGCATGTGTAACAGGTGATTCTGTGCTAGCTAGTGCATTATGTGCTACTGTTCGAGAAGCTCGAAATATGGAGCTACCGCTCGTAGAAAAGCAGGAAGCACCAGAGGTGGTGGCTCTTCGCTCAAACATGCAACGATTGCGTCTTCTCAAAGAACGAATGAACGTTTGCACTAAGGTATATGAGTCGGCAGAGATTTTTTCATTTTGCTGTAACTGCAACCCACTCGGACTAGTTTAGAATAAGTTCGTGACACCCGTTGCACAACCTTTCGTTCGACCTTTTAATTCATTATTTCTTTAACTCGTGGAATCCATATTCCTTATTCATGATAGTGTTTTTTTACCTTCAATCTTGCGTTTGTATGCCACTAGTATAACTTTTGGATTTAAAAATTTCTTTTATCACAAGAGAGTGAGGTGTGCTGTAACAAGGTAGTAGGATTATCAATGTTGCAAACAACCATAGTTAGGACCACTATCTTGGATGTAGAACCTCGCAGAGGGGAAACTTAGCAAATATAGTGAGTCACGAAACCTTTTTTAAAAATTCATTGGTGTTAACTTTTGTAGCTTGTTCACTCCCAGTGCGCATACTTGTTGCTTACCCCCTANAGTAGGATTATCAATGTTGCAAACAACCATAGTTAGGACCACTATCTTGCATGTAGAACCTCGCAGAGGGGAAACTTAGCAAATATAGTGACTCACGAAACCTTTTTTAAACATTCATTGGTGTTAACTTTTGTAGCTTGTTCACTCCCAGTGCGCATACTTGTTGCTTACCCCCTAACGATAGATTTACCGCAAATTTTTATTTTTAGACTATGGCAGAATTGCGCACATCATATGCTAGCGTAACAGCTCGCACATCCAGTCTTCATGATGCTTGCGATCGTGCTCTAGCATATCAAACAGCGCTGGCTGCGGGAGCTGAGCAGATCCGAACGAATTTGCACTTTTTCAAGCAGGCCGATATTATAATGAAGGTTCGGTCAAGCTTACCTGTGTACATTCGCCATTATAGTACTTCTTTTCAAGAAGCTGAATAACACGACGAAAATCTCTGTGACCGGTCAAATGTTCACTGGTATCCTTGCCACGATCGACGAATGTCTAACATTTCTTCGTCAGCATCCTGAATATAAGGAGTCTGCTGCATATATCGTGAAGTACGAACAGTGTCTCAGCAGGTTGGTGTCTTTCAACTTCAAGATTCTCGTTGGAAGTAGTCAAAACACGGAGCCTTTCTAAACAGCGAATCCTTCATCCCGTGTGAGGCCTCTAGAATGTTTTCTGCCCCTAGACATGACTCTAACGGTGTATGCGGACACCACACAATATGCTCAATTCGTTGCTAATTATTGTTTCACTGTCGCTTTTAAGAAGGTTTNTTTGTCCATTTCAGAGCTATGACGTGGATTCGCGTTGGAGTTATGGCAGATATCGAAGCTTCTGTGAATGATGTTAGAGATCGGCAGTCCCAATTACAGGTTCCTTCTTAAATCTATGTATATTCGATGAATTCTGTTCAGTGGCAATTTTAAGAGGGTACTGATAGAAAGCGGTCCCAAGATTTGATCGTGACGAGATTTGTGACTTGAGATGTTAAATGGCCAGCTTCACATTGATAGCTCAGAAGATGAACTAGTGAAACACTTAGCAAAGCTTTCAATCATTTTTTTACGTCTGCGAGTTCATTACTCCCTTTTGAATTAACATTAGCCTATTGTTGCTGGAGCTATCGACTCATTTATATTTACGAATCGCGAAACATTCAGGTAGATTACGCTAAATTGGGTCGAGGAGGAGCTGATGACGATACTTTCGCTTTACTTTATGGTGTGTTTGCTACTCGAGCCAGTTCCGTGAAGTGAGTTCTCATGGGTTTCAATGATTACAGCGAGAAGTCAGTAATTGTTTTTCCTTTATGTCTCAAAAATACTTTTTTAGAGCCGCTTTGTCGGTTGCTGAGCAGAGATTTGCTCAGGTCCCAGAGTTTCAAGCGATGTTAGCTGAATGCCAACAGGCGTATTTCAAGACGAGGCAGCTACTTTTGACGCCCATTATTCAGGCTACTCTAGCTCACATGTCTACGAAGTACGAAAACTTTTCCTTTGAAATTTAAACAACATTAGAACAGCTTCATCCCATCCTAGAAAGATAGTTGCTTCCTCACAATTTCGGTAAAATTTTAGTACATATGCTGACTCTTCGTGTGCGCTGACACGAAACAGTTGCTCTTTCATATTGGGCCTATGTGACGACGAATTTCGGCTTTATCGGCAGTTCTTCTCGACGGGTCAGGGTTCAGGCAGTCCTTCATCCCGTTTTAGTCTACGACATAGGTGAGCATTACTGAATTCATCTTCCATTTCTGCACATTTATCGCGTCCTATATATTTCAGCCCTGTTTCTACAACGGGATCGGTACGCACACAATTTTCAGATACGCCACATCCGTTTGAAGAGTTCATAGAGTCCATCTGTCGGTTATTATATGATATTTTGCGCCCTATTGTGATTCACAACCCCCATTTAGAGACCTTGGCCGAGTTGTGTAGTATTCTCAAGGTATAATAAGGTAAACTGAAGTGGTTCGATATAGGCTTAACGTTATTTTATTTAGGTAGAAATGATCGAGGAAAGGTGCTCCATACTTCCAGCAGTTGTAGCAGAAGAATGTGTGTCATTTGATCCACGAGCGGGCTTTGTGCATGTTATAGGTGAACTTGTTGGAGATGTAGCAGAGAGGATTGTTTACAGGTAGATACTTACTTCTTACGAAAACCTCAACTTTCCTTTTCACCTTGCCACTTTGCCTGTACATTTCATCAGGGGCTAGCGATGCATTCGATCGCCTAAGGGGAGCGATAAATAGATCTCATAAGTTCTCATGAGCAAATTGATGAAGTTAAAAAAAGCAAAAAAATGAGCAAAATCTTCGATTTGAAAAAAATACAGTCAATGAAAATGTATAGCACGGCGAACCTCCCAACGAGAAGGACACAGTCCCGAAATAAACTCATTACAGAGCCGCTATGTATGGTCAAAGTGATATTGCTGGTTACAAACCAGCGGCAGGAGATTTGGCTTATCCGGAAAAATTGGAGATGATGAAAAGCATTGAGCAGGCCAAAAAGAAGGAAGAAGAGGAAAAAGCTGAGAAGCAGGAAGGGGATGGTGAAGGTATGCTATTCTGCTCTTAAAATCTGCAAATTTGTGTAAGGCTTTGAAAATACCTCTTCTTGGCTCCTTCGAGGGTTATACTTACTTAGAATGTCAATTACCGATTCTTTTTACTAAGCTTCTCGAATTGTTTTCAGGCAATGGACGCAAAGGATCATCATCATCTCGAACAGTTCCCGCTCCAATATCAGCCGTAGATCTACATTGTCTTTGGTACCCGACAGTTCGCCGAACTGTCATGTGTCTTGCTAAGTTATACAGATGTCTCGATGTATGTTGCCCTCCCATTCCCTCGTGAAATTTTATCGTTTTTACTTACTACTGTACTTCGACAAGTTAACATATGAAGGAATCTGAAAGAAATGTGTGTACAGTTTCAGGTGGCCGTATTCCAATCGCTTGCCCGTGACCTATTGTCAATGTGCATCGAATCTTTGGAGGCGGCAGCTCTACACATCGCTGCGTCACCCTCCAAAAAGGTGAGTGTTTCGCTTCGTCTTGGTCTATGTATATCCTTGCTTTGTGATTATGAGACCTGAATTAAGTGATAATTTGTTGATTTATATTAGAATGGCTGCAGGAGAGTCAGTTTACGAATCGCATGAGGCTTGCGTTATTGGATTATTGTTTAGTGGAGAATCAGCTTGGTTCCCAGAACCTACAGTTCATTTATGAAAGTTCTCTACAAGCAGAATTTTTTACCGGAGCTCTTATTTTGAGCTGTCGCCTCCTTCTCCAACAAACTCTGAAAATCCATTAACGCTATGTTTTGTTGGTGGTTAATAGAAAACTATGTTACCAAGAGGGCATTGCTATGGGGACCTGTTCATAGCCTATATATATATATATATATATATATATATATATATATATA